CTTTTCCTCTTCATAGTTTAATGGGGTTTCACCTGCTTCTTGTTAGTTCCTTGTGTAATCATTCACATGTCGGTTGTTATTGCAGTGTATTGCCAGTGTAATGAATTGTATTAACTAACATATCAGAAAAAGCTTAAACTATTAACATTTTTTCGTAATTCTGCATTAATAATTCTCATTAATAATTCTCATTAATAAAGTTACTGACTCCAAAGATCAAACAGGACATACAATAAGACAAACTGACATTTTTTTTTATTATTATTTATGTCACGATCCTGGGTCTTATGACCCAGTGTTTTGAGTTTTAGTTCATTTTGATGTTTTAGTTTATGTAAGCCCTTCAGGTTCCTAAGTTCATTTGTTATCATGCTTAAGTGTTTCTAGTTCTTATTATTTCCCCCTCGTGTTTCCAACTATGGTAAATCTCCCCTGCTCTTCATGTGTTTCATGTCTGTGTCTTACATTGTGAAGTTTGGGTTGTCATGTCTACGTCTCATTATGTTTCCTGTTTTATTTTGAAAGAGGTCCTGTGTTCCTGCATTTTGTTTTACTCTTCCCCTGTGGCGTTGTTATGTTCATGTTGATCTACTGTGCCTTTCTGTTCCATGTTTCAGATCCCTATGTTCTGTCTCCCCCAGTCTGTTAAGTCCACATGTCTTGAGTTCCGTCAGTGTGTTCCCTGTTTTACTTTCACAGTCTGTTCTATGTTAATGTTTCTAGTTTTGCTTCCCTTGCCTCGTCCTGCCTAATTACTCTCAGCTGTGCTCTCCTCCTGTGGCTCATTCCCCCTCATTATCCCTCAGTGTATTTAAGCCCCATGTTTCTCTTTGTCAGTGTTGCGTCCTCCATCATAGCTGTGTGATTTTTCCCTGTGGCTCCTTGTGCTTTAGTTTTCCCAGTTTAGTTTATTTTGTATTGTTTTTCGTGTCCCACTCCACGCCAGCAATAAAGCTGTGTTTTTTGAGTTTACCTTTTGTCTCTGTGAGTTTGCGTTTGGGTCCTACTTTTGCCTGCACACAGCCATATTGTGACAATTTAGTTCACAATTTAATTTATATACTAGCAAAAACTGGTTGTAGCACTCACAGGGACCCTTTGTGAAATCACCAAAATGTTATCTGTACTGTATATAAACCGAATCACGGGAAGAAAAACAACCCCCTTTGTCTTTTTTTTGCTAAAGAACAATTGATGAAGAAGCTGAATACTGCTGAGAAACCACCAAGTCAAAGTCTCGACCTTTCAGTGGAATTTTGCAGCAGCTGAAGTACACTCAACAAAAATATAAACGCGACACCTTTGTTACTGCTCCCATTCCCCATGGGATGGACGTAGAGACCTAAAATTCATTCCAGATACACAATATAACCATCCCTCCCAAACAGTGGTCACAAATCAGTCCAAATGTGTGGTAGTGGGCACATCTGCTATATTGAGATAATCCATCCCACCTCACAGGTGTGCCACATCAGGATGCTGATCTGACATCATGAGTAGTGCACAGGTGTACCTCAGACTGCACACAACAAAAGGCCACCCTGGAATGTGCAGTTTTGTCTCACAGCAAAATGCCACAGATGCCACAAGCAATGAGGGAGCGTGCAATTGGCATGCTGACAGCAGGAATGTCAACCAGATCTGTCGCCCGTGCATTGAATGTTCATTTCTCAACCATAAGCCGTCTCCACAGGCGTTTCAGAGAATATGGCAGCACATCCAACCAGCCTCACAACCGCAGACCTCGTGTAACCACACCAGCCCAGGACCTCCACATCCAGCAGGTTCACCTCCAAGATCGTCTGAGACCAGCCTCCCAGACAGCTGCTGGAACAATTGGTTTGCACAACCAAACAATTTCTGCATAAACTGTCAGAAACCGTCTCAGGGACGCTCAACTGCATGCCCGTCGTCCTCATTGGGGTCTTGACCTGACTCCAGCTCGTCACCGTAACAGACTTGTGTGGGCAAATGCTCACATTCGATGGCGTCTGGCACGTTGGAGAGGTGTGCGCTTCACGGATGAATCATGGTTCACATTGTTCAGGGCAGATGGCAGCTGAGAATGTCCCAGTTCTTGCATGGCCAGCATACTCACCGGACATGTCGCCCATTGAGCATGTTTGGGATGTGCTTGACCGGCGTATACGACAGCGTGCACCAGTTCCCACGAATATCCAACAACCTCGCACAGCCATTGAAGTGGAGTGGACCAACATTCCACAGGCCACAATTGACAATCTGATAGACTCCATGCGACGATGTGTTGCACTGCATGAGGCAAATGGTGGTCACACCAGATACTGACCGGTTCTGGGTCCCCAGACCCCCAATAGCACAAAAAACTGCACATTCCAGGGTGGCCTTTTGTTGTGGGCAGTCTGAGGTACACCTGTGCACTACTCATGATGTCAGATCAGCATCCTGATGTGGCACACCTGTGAGGTGGGATGGATTATCTCAATATAGCAGATGTGCCCACTACCACACATTTGGACTGATTTGTGACCACTGTTTGGGAGGGATGGTTATATTGTGTATCTGGAATGAATTTTAGGTCTCTACGTCCATCCCATGGGGAATGGGAGCAGCAACAAAGGTGTTGCATTTATATTTTTGTTGAGTGTAAGAAGTTCCTCCAACATATACAGGGGTATACACTGGCTGATCATAGTTTGGATTAATGTAATTGTTGCTGCTTCTCGGCAGACAGGAGACATGATCTGTTTGGCTGGAGATCTGCTACAGAAATGAAATATACACTGTAATTTTAATAGGTTATCCTACCAAATTCCTTTTATTCATTCATCCATTCCTCAATTGATTAAAACCTCCAGGAACAAACATTTTGGCCTCAATGTTGAACTGAGAAACTTTTGAACACTGAATGAATGACAGTTTCCTCATAACATCTCTCCCTGTTATCTTCTATCGTATCTTTTCCTTGTTCCTCCTTTATCGTTTTTGTAGTTTAACTTATTCATACTGCCCCGTGTAATAGTCTAGTGTTCTGAAAGGTAGTTGCCATCATAACCTGGTCCTGTAAAGCCTAAACCATGAAGTCATGATGAGAAAATTGATTTTTTTTTAAACTTGAACTTTCTGAAAAACTCATCTCTAGAATAAGATTTTTTTAATTAAAATAAAATCTTCATTCCCTTAGAAAAAAAAAATCAATGATATGAGTAAAATTGAAAGTGAAATTAGACCTGTAATTCAAGTGCAAGGCCTTAATCTGTTTATTAAAATCTGATCTTTCACAACAGGTTTAAGGAAGTGTATGATTACTAGCACTGAGGCAGACAATAGATTGAAAGGTGTTTTGTTGATCCAACTGGCTGAGCAGGAAAACAATTTCATGTTTCATTGCTCATCTTTTGAACGAAAACAATACAGTGTTAATACCTACTGAAAAGCATTGCTTTTATTTATTATTTTTTACTTTTATTTATTTTTCTATTTGCAATAAAAGCATTAAAATGCAACTGCACTGATTCTGATTTCCAATGAGATCCTGCTCAGTTTGTTTCTGGTAACCTGCAGCTGATGCTCAGTCACACCTGTATTGAAATATGACCTTGACCAAAATCTTTACCAGCAAACACAATGAAACACTTCAAAATGCAGTGCAGATTGATTTTGTGTATATTCTTGGTGTAGCTAATTAATGTCACCCACAAAGCATCAATGGATTAGGACTTATTCTGTGCAGAGACACAGAACGGCAGAGATTTAAAATGAACGAATGAAATGAAACATTGAAAAGGTTGAACATTGTTGACAGATGCACCTTAGAGGACACTCCCACAAGTTCTGCATAAAAAGAGAAATCGGTTTTGAGTTGTTAGATGAACAGGGAAGATCTTCAGAGTAAGATCTTGGCGTCATTAGCAGAGGTAAGATAGATAACACTGACAGTTTCTGCACTGAAACTGATCGTAGATAGAGGACACATTTGAAATTACTTCTCATAATATCTTTTGGTTAATATAATTTTGTTCCCATCAGGATTTTTCTTCTTTCAAGAGTGAAAATGGGCGATTATGAGGTGATCATTTTCACTGGCAATGTCTCCAATGCCTCCACTTTTAACAAGATCTACATTAAGCTATTCGGCACAGATGGAGAGAGTGAACGCACACACCTGTGGAGCTGTGTGCCATCTTTCTACAGGGGAGCAGTAAGTATGGTACTCAGTTACTTTTTTTATATATATAAACTCAATTCACAATAACAGTCACCTCCAGGTAGTCTCTATTTTAAGGTAAAGAGCATACGACATTAGAGAAAGCCACAACAAACAGATAATCTGCTATGAGCAATATAAAGGCAGTAGGAAATCAACTCCCTTATAGAAGTTAAAAGTCTTCCAGAAGAAGCAAGTTCAGGTAGAGGCAGCCATCTGGAAGTAAGTTATTACTTGGAAGTAAGGTCAAAGAAAAGAGAGCATAGGGAGAGTGGATGGAACACAAACTGTGGGAGACAAGACAAAACCTGAGAGAGCTTAATAAATAGTGGTTTGATTACAGCCACCTTAACAGTCTGTCGTACATAAACTCAACTACAGTTAGTCACATTCTGGAGTTTTTAATCAATTTGGCCATGTTATTCGAAACAAGGCTGTACTTTCCACAGTGGGAAGGGTGGTATCCTTCCTAATCAGATAAAATATTCTCCACAGGAAAATGGATGTTTAAATTTGTGCCATGGTTATATGAGATTACATCATGATTTATAGCATTAAATACTCTGAAACTGAAATGTACATTTTAATTTTGCCTGTATAGTAACTGCACTGTGATTACTAGGAGGTAAAGACGTATGATAAAATACAATTGTCAGTTTAATACATGCTGACCTATTGTACATTTTTCAAAGGTATTCAAAGGTATATGCTACTTTTACTTCAGGTGTCACATTTTATTGTGTCCTGCCGAAAATCCCTTGGACATCTAGCACTGATAGAGCTAGAAAAAGAGAATCAGACGCTTGTCCCAAACATGGCTTGGTATCCTGCTAAGGTGGATGTGACGTCCCCTGAGGGAGGCAAATACAGCTTTCCTGTCTACCGCTGGATCACTAACAGCAAGCCGCACTACTTCAGAGAGGGAGCAGGTTTGTGTCAATGTTAGAAATGAATAAATTAAAAGCAAAAAATGATGTAGCTATTCATTTAGAAGAGATCATAAAGATTATAAAAATTAACTGAAAAATGACACATTAAGAAAGTCTTCTTTTTTTTCTGCCTGTCTTCTTTTTTCTTTTTTTTTAAAAATCTTTAAGAGAAATTTTATAGACAATAAAGAATTTGCTAATTGGATCTCCTCAGTGAGTGTTTGAGAGAATAGTTCCTGTCCACCACAAGACGGAGGAGCAAATCAGCAGCAAGTGTATTGCTCCTCCAGTTTTCCACCTGAAGACAGCGTTTACATTGCAATCTACCTTTGGTAGTTTTTTGGCCAGTATCTGTAACATTCCGGAGATTCCTCATTATTTTGACACGCCCACACACAAACTGAGTACACACTAAGTACACTACACGACAAAGTAAAAGTAAGAGTAAAAGTGCTGCAAGCACAGCAAAATTCTAGGAATAATGGATATAACTTATATTATAATTTATTATCAACTCTGACCACAAACATCTGGAGTTAATTGAAACAAAAACAAACAATATCATGAAAACCAGCAGGAACATCTGCAACTGGTAACCAGAACTAATGAAACAGACCAAGCAGGTAGATCAAATCCAAACCGTTCTGTCTTTTAAAAGAATTTTTACCTTGTGTGTGTTTTTTCTAGCTCTCACAGCAATTGAAGACAAGCACAGACTTCTTAGCCCGTACAGTCGGGAACAGGAGCTTCTGGAAAGACGCAAACTCTACAGGTAAGAGATGAGAGCATCATGAGAACCAATAGAATGAAGGCCTGAAATCCTTCTCCACCCCTGGCTCGATCAGTTGGATGTAAATTTGTGAAATACCAAGATAATTTAAACACTACATAATATCTGCCAGAATTTGATGTGCATGGTCGAAGCATAGATGTGCATATACAAACAATTAGTCAGTAATGCCATTTGTTTTCTGTACTATAATCCTTTTCCACTACACTTAAGTTATTTTGTTTTTGTATATTTTATATGTTTTGCCTTTATCTTCTTTTCCAGCTGGGACAAGCAGGGCATCTCCCACCTGAAGGCAGACAGTGTTTTATCACTCCCCTATGACATCCGCTTCTCTTTGACTAAGACTGTGGAGATGGTCTACATTGGGGCCACAGGGTGAACCCCTCATGTCATATATATATACACATATATATATACATATATATATATACATATATACATATATATATATGTATACATATAGATATACATACATATACATATACATACAATACAATACATACATATATATATATATATATATATATATATATATATATATATATATATATATATATATATATATTTATTTATTTATTTATAAAACACCCAGCACGCCCCTGCGGGCGGTTTATCCTTCAAGCTCGGGTCCTCTACCAGAGGCCTGGGAGCTTGAGGGTCCTGCGCAGTATCTTAGCTGTTCCCAGCCCTGCGCTCTTCTGGACAGAGATCTCCGATGTTATTCCCGGATCTGCTGGAGCCACTCGCCTAGCTTGGGAGTCACCGCACCTAGTGCTCCGATTACCACGGAGACCACCGTTACCTTCACCCTCCACATCCTCTCGAGCTCTTCTCTGAGCCCTTGGTATTTCTCCAGCTTCTCGTGTTCCTTCTTTCTGATGTTGCTGTCATTCGGAACCGCTACATCGATCACTACGGCCGTCTTCTTCTGTTTATCTACCACCACTATGTCCGGTTGGTTAGCCACCACCATTTTGTCCGTCTGTATCTGGAAGTCCCACAGGATCTTAGCTCGGTCATTCTCCACCACCCTTGGGGGCATCTCCCATTTTGACCTCGGGACTTCCAGGTTATACTCGGCACAGATGTTCCTGTACACTATGCCGGCCACTTGGTTATGGCGTTCCATGTATGCCTTGCCTGCTAGCATCTTGCACCCTGCTGTTATGTGCTGGATTGTCTCTGGGGCATCTTTACACAGCCTGCACCTGGGGTCTTGCCTGGTGTGATAGACCCCAGCCTCTATGGATCTTGTACTCAGAGCTTGTTCTCGTGCTGCCATGATAAGTGCCTCTGTGCTGTCTTTCAGTCTGACTTTGTCCAGCCACTGGTAGGATTTCTGGATATCAGCCACCCCCTCTATCTGCCTGTGGTACATATCGTGCAGGGGCCTGTCCTTCCATGATGGTTCCTCGTCTTCCCCCTCTTTGTTGGGTTTCTGCTGCCTGAGGTATGCACTGAGCACTCGGTCAGTTGGGGCCATCTTGCCAATGTATTCTTGGATGTTCGTTGTCTCATCCTGGACTGTGGTGCTGACACTCACCAGTCCCCGGCCCCCTTCCTATGTCAGTGGCTTCTATCTCCTCCTTTGGCCAGCCTATTACCCCAGCAGGGTACCTGATCACGGGCAGGGCGTACGTGTTGATGGCCCGGATCTTGTTCTTACCATTCAGCTGACTCCTCAGGACTTGCCTGACCCTCTGCAGGTACTTGGTGGTTGCAGCTTTTCTAGCGGCCTCTTCATGGTTCCCATTCGCCTGCGGGATCCCCAGGTACTTGTAACTGTCCTCTATGTCTGCAATGTTGCCTTCTGGTAGTTCAATCCCCTCAGTTCTGACTACCTTCCCTCTCTTTGTTACCATCCGACTACACTTCTCCAGTCCGAACGTCATTCCAATGTCATTGCTGTATAGCCTGGTAGTGTGGATCAGTGAATCGATGTCTCGTTCACTCTTGGCATACAGCTTGATGTCATCCATGTACAGGAGGTGGCTGACAACTGCTCCGTTCTGTAGTCAGTATCCGTAGCCAGTCTTGTTAATGATCTCACTGAGGGGGTTCAGGCCTATGCAGAACAGCAGTGGGGACAGAGCATCTCCTTGGTAGATCCCGCACTTGATGGTGACTTGTGCTATGGGCTTGGAGTTGGCCTCTAGTGTTGTACGCCACATCCCCATTGAGTTCCTGATGAAGGCCCATTGATCTTGTACAATTCTAGGCATTCCAGTATCCAGCTGTGGGGCATTGAGTCATAGGCCTTCTTGTAATCAATCCAGGCAGTGCACAGGTTGGTCAGTCTGGTCTTGCAGTCTCGGCTGACTGTTCTGTCTACCAGTAGCTGGTGTTTTGCGCCTCTGGTATTCTTGCCAATTCCTTTCTGTGTCCCGCTCATGTATTGACCCATGTGCCTGTTCATCTTAGCTGATATGATGCCTGACAGGAGCTTCCATGTAGTACTGAGGCAGGTTATTGGTCGGTAGTTGGAGGGGACCGGTCCCTTCTTGGGGTCCTTGGGGATCAGGACCGTCCGACCTTCGGTTAGCCATTCCGGGTGTCTCTCGTTAACTAGCAGCTGGTTCATTTGTGCTGCCAGACGCTCGTGGAGTGCAGTCAGCTTCTTTAGCCAGTAGGCGTGAACCATGTCGGGCCTTGGTGCTGTCCAACTCTTCATACTGGAGACCCTTTCTTGGATATCTGCCACTGTGATGGTTACTGGACCCTGTTCGGGGAGGTCGCTGTGGTCTGCCCTCAGATCCTCTAGCCACTGAGCATTGCCGTTATGGGTTGCGTCCTTCTCCCATATGCTCTTCCAGTATTGCTCGGTCTCCAGCCTGGGTGGTGCTGTTCTCTTATTATTATTGTTCCCTTGCCACTGAGAGTACACCTTTGCTGGTTCTGTGGAGAACAGCTGGTTTATTCTCCTGCCTTCTATCTCTCTGGTGTACCTCCTCAAGCGGCTGGCCAAGGCTGTGAGTCTTTGCTTGGCAGTTTCCAAGGCCTCAGGTATGGACAGCTTGCTGTATTTCTTATGCACCTTCTTTGTCGCACCTTTCTGCAACTCCGTTAGTTGGCAAACCTCCCTCCGTGCTACTTTGATCTTGCCCTCTAGCCTCCTTCTCCATGGAGGGTACTGCCCCTTGTGGCTGTTCATCTTGTAGCCAAGCATCTCACTGATCACTGCTGCCGTATTGTAGATCAGCTTGTTAGTGTCGGTAATCGTGGTTGTAGGTATTGTCCGTAGTGCTGCATTAACATCATCTAGCAGACCTTCTGAGGGTACTTCACTTAATCTTGGTAACCGGCTACGGGGGATCCAGGTTTCAAGCTTGGCCATGATCCTATCTTTCAGGTCAGTTCCTCTCGCACTTAACGTGCAATCCTTCTCCTATTGCACTTGGGGCTATGTACCCAATCTCGGGTGGGGGTGATGATATCGCCCCCCTGACCTGGCATCCTGACTCCTCCTTGCCATAGCATTTGTGTTGTACCTCGTCAATCTCTAGCTGTGAGAGCAGTCCCTTCTTTCGAATGTTGGAACACTGAGCTACTAGTTGTTTCGCCGTCATTGTGGATGTTGGGTATCGAAGAATCCATCCTATTCATGTAGCCCCTTCCGCCAGGGTTACTTGCGTAGTAGCATTCCAACAACGCCCTGTTATATATATATATATATATATATATATATATATATATATATATATATATATATATATGATTCTAATCATCTGAAAAAGCTACTGTGTTTTTTTCTAGACTGGGAAGGCTGGGACTGATGGGAATGCTTCAGTCTAACAAGTTTAATTGTATAGAGGATATTAAACAACTATTAAATGTCCACAAAACTCAGGTTTCAGGTAATGAACAATCATTAGACCATATTATATAATGTATAATAGCACATAAAGTAACATAGAATAAGTCATATTATTAGGACTCTGGCATTTATGTCCATGACATGATGAATTTTACTTTCCTGTTTTTTGCCTGCGGTCAAATTTTATGATATTAACAGTGGTTGAGAAGGATTGTAAAGCATTTTAAACACAGAGAAGTAAAATTATGTTTTATTTCTAGAATACGTCTCTAAACACTGGAAGGAAGATGCATTCTTTGGCTATCAGTTTCTAAATGGTACCAATCCCATTTTGATCCAACGCTGTACACAACTGCCCAATAACTTATCTGTCACGGATGAAACGGTTTTCCCTGATGGTCAGCATAATTTGGCAGAAGAAATGGAGGTTTATTTAATTTAAATTTCTATTAAATAAAGTTGACTGATATCTGGTTGCTCTTATTTGTATGTTGGTGAGGTATTTGTATTGGCAAATTTTACTTTGCAGTTGTAATACCCAGACTAAATGCATGGGGTCAAATAATTTGTCATTCCTTCTGAAATTTCAAACAGAAGGGTAACATCTTCCTGTGTGACTACAAGATTTTGGATGAAGTGGAGTCAAACACCATCAATGGGAACAAACAGTTCTTGATGGCCCCGCTTGTCCTACTTTGGAAAAACAATGCTGATCAGTTAATGCCAGTTGCTATTCAGGTGAGCTTAGAACTCAGACATTAATAACGTAAATTAACTGGTTCTTATATAGCACTTTTCAAGCCTACCTGAGCACTCAAATTGCTTTAGACAATGTGCATCTATTGTATATGGATTTTGTTTATCTTTTTCCTTCTGCATAGAGATTAGCTCTTGCTAAACCAATCCCTGTTGTTGTTGCCAATGTCTGTGCCAGAAAAAACTTCTCAGTAGCTTTAGGGAATGAAATTAATAAGAATTTATTCCAATTCCAATATCAATATCACTCGTGGATTCCATTCATTATCAATTCTCTTATTGATTGTCTATCCGGTCTTTAAGGCTGACGTCATTAGCCGCGTCTGGGCCCAAACTCCGCTGCAGGTTCCTAAGTCAAAAGATCTCTGCAGCATTACTGAGAGTTTAAAAACTGTCTAAATTCATTCATCTTTAATAAAATGATCAGTGTTGCTGTTTTACCAGGTGCAATGATTAAGTTTAACATCCAGGCATCCATGAAAACTGAATTATTTATGAAATTTAACTGAAGTCGAAGTTAGCAGGGAGTTAGCTCGCTAGCTTCCATTTCAATATAATACACCATGTTCTGAATGAGAGACTTCTGAAAAAATTAAAACGTTACAGCTCTGCTATCACTCCCAACATAAATGAAGACAGAAAACTAAACAGCAGTGGCGTTTGTAGGATTACAGAACTTGGACTAGCAGGTATATAATGATGTGCTGCATGATCGCTAGCGACATAGCTATGTTAGCATAACATTAGCATGGCAGGATGCTGTAAACGGACCAAACTTCAGTCAGGGGAACAAGTGAGATAATCCATCCACAAAACAAGGTTAGTCATTAATATACTGCTGCATGGGCTGTGCTGTAGTTACATCGTAAGGTTTTAAAAAACTGAGCTTTAAAATGATTAGCGGAAATAAAAATAGAGAGAGGCCGACAGTGATCACTGACTGTTTTTAGGGGCTTGTTGAGATGAAATAGAACAAGATACCAAGCATTAAAATATGTTAAAAGCACAATAGCCCTATTAAAAGCAGAGTACTTTTGGACCGGAAGCAGGATTCAGCACATCATCGCTTAAAGGCTGGATAGATTCTGGTTGGCTCAGCTTTGAGAATAACCACTATCTCTAAGCAGCATATCAAGGAATGTCTCAGGAATAGGGATGGGTACCGGTATCGGTTCTGACATAAATGGTAGTAACCAGACCGAAAAGCAGCGCACATTTCGGTGCTTTATTTCGGTGCTTTTTTTTCCTGAGATGTCATACACTTTGAATTCTAGCCAATCATTTTACGTTTCCGAGGATAGTAGGCGGGTCCAGGTACGTACGTTATTTTAGAGCGGAGCTACAGATTAAAAATGCCCAAGGCAAGCGGTCAAAAGTCTGGCTGTACTTCACAGCAAAATATGCAAACTCAGCAGCCTGCAACAAGTGCTTTAAGGAGATACTGTGATACTGTCAAAGGAGGTAACACCTCAAATCCGATGAAACACCTGGCGACGCATAGCGTTTTTTTTAAAGCCGAAAAATGCGCCGTATTTGATAGCGTGCTGCGAGACCTCACACCGAGCGCATCTACTGCACCCGAAGAGGAGAGTCCTGGCCCCTAGCCCTGCCAGTGTAGCAAAAATGATGACGGATGATAATGGCAGCAGCAGCCGTTCTTCTCTGCGTGAGTAGCTTAATGTTGTTCGTGTGTAATTTATGCTGAGTAGGCTAACCACATTATTAAATGAATGCATATAAGGTGAACTAGCAAACACAGTCGTAGTTACATGCAGCTGACTTCTTGTTTGATGGCAGATACTCCCTTCACCCTGGCCAAAAAGGCTAAAATGACCAAAGAAAAAGTGGAAAACAGCTAAACATGAGAGGTTTTTGGACAAAGTTTGTGTTTTTTCCATTGTTTAAGCACTGCTTCCAGCCAAGATTGATACCATATATGCCCCATAGCTGCAGAAAAGGCTAACATTGTTATCTTTTTACAAAAAAAACCAGCTGAACATGAGAGGTTTTAGGACCAATTTTGTGTTCTCCATTCTTTAAGCACCGGTTTGAGCACCGTTTAAGCACCGGCACCGTTTCAAAAGTACCGGTTTGGCACCGATATCGGATAAAACCTAAACGATACCCATCCCTACTCAGGAATATCATCTAACAATATCAAACTGAAGTTAAAATCTCATACACCTACACTAATCCTATCCTAATGAGGAGTCACATGTGATCTTTCTCTTAATATTTAGATATGAACAAAACGCCAACAACACAAAGCAAAGATAAAAACAGCAGACAGAAACTTAAAACAATCACAAGATCATACAAGATTCTCAAAATTCTCATCTTGTCAATTTAGCTATTGGGATTTATCTGTTAGCTTGTAGCATGGGAGCCAATGCAGCAGGGTCACACAAGACCGGCATCAAAGGTGATGGCAGAGATTTGTGGAGTGACTCTGCACATATTGCGATCTGTCTGTCCTTTCTTGGCCACCTGCCTCATTCAACCTAAAGAAAGTGCCAACCTCCAAATGTGGCGGTACTGGTAAGCGGTGTCTTCTGGACTCGAAGGTCCCCACATGCAACAACCTGTCACTGGCACTCTTTCTTTTTAAGTGATTTTAAACTCTGGTGCTGAATTTAATTGACAGTTCCCATATGGAAAAGATATATATAAATCTTATAAAGTTTGTATCTGTCTTGTGTGAAACTTGTATGAAAAGCATACAAGAGTAAAAACAGATATAAGATCCCTTGAAAAATTATATAATGAAACTTGTATGTTTTGGATACTTACTAAAACAATGTATGAAAGTAATGAGAAAGTGGCCACTTTCATGAGTAAATCATGTAAGCCTTAAATGATTTACTCATGAAAGTGGCCACTTTCATGAGTAAATCACATATAAGTTTTTACTATTTCTTTTCCGTATGGGTTAGCTTATGAAACAACTCAGTACGGAGGTTTGGCCCTTGAGGCTCCTGTGGAAATAACTGCCAGTTACTCCCCACCATCATCATCACAGGGTTTTTGATCAGCACGTTCTGTTTGTCACACTTCTTACAATTCACCATCCCTTCAGCCCCAAATTGGGTCCTTAAACCTGACTTAGAGACTGCAGATTTATCTTTAGTTCCCTAGTAATATTTTGACACAAACAGCAGTGGCTCCTTCCTCCACATGACCCCTAAGACTCTCGGCTACTAGTCTCTCCCCTTTCAATTATCTATAAATTACATTACAAGGGCGAAGAGACTGAAATCACAGTTCCCTCCATGCCTTAACACCTACATCACAGCCAGAGGATACGAAGGCAGACTTTTCTGTGACGTAGAATCATTGATTTGCCAACCAGGGAAAAGGAGGACTGGTACGATCCAGCGTGGATGGGGTTTACCTACCGCTTTCTGTTTTGCTTTTCAGGAACAGTTGGGCACCTGGGTGTGACTGTGGTGTACATGGTTTCTCTGGCACAACTAGGGCCATTTGGTTCTGTCAACCTAGTGTATTTAAGTAGCAACAAGGCAGATATCCTACACCTGATTGTTGTCTCTGCTCTGGTGGTTTTGTTGTGACTTGAATTTTGGGAAAGTGTCAATCTGCAGTTTCTACTGTTGCTTTTCGGCAGTCCTCCTTCCAGCTTGCCAGTTTTCCCAGGATCTTTCAGAAGAATATCAGCCATGACCCTTCTCCACTTTCATCAGACTGTCCTGCCACCGTAAATCCTGCACTGTGTGCTGCTTACCTGAACACCTCTATGCCTCTCACACACCACTACTCTTACCTTTATTCCTCTCTGCCTCAGCCACCTTTCCTCAAACTCCTCACACAAGACCTTTTTAACTTGACAAATAATCTCTACTCACCTTTAAATTCTTTCATTCAGTATCCAAATCTTTTCCTAGTCATGTGCTTTCCAGTCACTAACTGCCATTTCTCTGTCTCCCTGGATTATCAAAGATCCTCGGTCTGTTTCTTTCCTGCGCCTTTAATCGTTATTTTTACAGTAAATAAAGCTTTTCATTGCAGTTTGTGTTTGAGTTGGTCTGCTCAACATCTATAAAAGTGTTTGATGGTTAGCAGTTCGTAATGATTAAAAAAAAGGTAGTATAAGTAAGAAAACACATTTATTCCTTCTCCTGCAGCTGAAGCAGAAACCAACAAAGGACAACCCGATTTTTTATCCTAGTGATTCTGAGTACGACTGGTTGTTGGCCAAGACGTTTGTGAGAAGTGCAAACTTCAACCTTTATGAACTAAATGCTCATCTGCTGCGCACTCATCTGCTGGCTGAGGTTTTTGCAGTGTCACTGCTCCGCAACCTTCCAATGGTGCATCCACTGTACAAGGTATGTAAAGTTGATTAATTGTTTTGAAGATTTAACACAATGGTAAATGGTACAGAAAGCAACAAAACTTGTGACTTTGATGTTAGCCATTTACATATATGTTATACAGCAGAATTAAACATTTGAATATAAAACATCAGACAAGAAAGGAAAAAGTAGTCTTCTTACAAATGAACTTCTCTGCTTCCCTCAGCTTCTCATACCTCACACTCGCTACACTTTGAACATCAACTTCTTAGCTCGGATGCTTCTGATATCTAAAGGAGGAACTTTTGCTAAGGTATAAACAAACAAAAAGGACAAACAAATGTTCTTTTTGACCAACATGTATTTTTTTGCCACTAAGATTTGACTGTTTCCTAGTTTACATCTTCTGGTGGAGAGGGTGCCCTCACAATCCTGAGAAGATCACTGACCTCACTGACCTACAGCTCCCTCTGTATCCCAGATGATATTGAGGAACGTGGACTGAAAGATGTGCCAAACTTCTACTACAGGGATGATGGACTCCAGCTTTGGGAAATCATCAACAGGTTCTATTACCACTTTGTCTGACACAACATACAGAATAACTTCAATTTATTTCGAAGTTCACCTAGGCCATTCTTCACACCCTGGTAAATTTAGTAATGTACTTTCAGATGCTTGCCGAAACAAAAACAAAATTCTTCCAGATGGCTTCCCAGTTATTATTTTAAATGAAAGAATAAATGAATGAAGCCTTTATTTGTGACATGCAGTTGCCTGCAGTGAAACTGACCCTTCTGACCATACATATATTACACAAACATCACATTGCGGAAACAGGTCAGAATAGATAGCATTTAAAAATAACAGTGAAAATTCACAACATCAGGGACAGGAGGAGAAAAAAAGGACTCTACTCAGACTCACCTCCACTAGGAGAGCAGTTTAAGGACAACAAAACAAAAACAACTCAGTGTCTGTGTCCGTTACATGAGTATGTGTGTGAGTGTATCCCGTGTTCACCCCATGCTTTATATTGTACAGCAGACCCTACAATAATAGATACAGAGAAAAACCCAACAATCATATGACCCCCTATGAGCAAGCACTTTGGCGACAGTGGGAAGGAAAAACTCCCTTTTAACAGGAAGAAACCTCCGGCAGAACCAGGCTCAGGGAGGGGCGGCCATCTGCTGCGATCGGTTTGGGTGAGAGAAAGAGAAAAAAAGAAGGAGAAAGAAGATCAAGTCTCCAGTGGACCCAGGTGGCCTTGAAGGTCAGACAGAAAGTTCAGACAACAATCTTGTTATTAGTAGTGGTGCAACAGATCAAAAATCTCACGGTTCGGATCGGATTACGGTTTCAAGTCACGGATCGGATCAATTTTCAGATCGGCAAAAAAAAGAAAAAAATGAATTTTTAAAAAAAAATTTCATATTAACTTAGTTAAATATTTTTTGCCTATTAAAAACATTCAACACAAGACTCATTCCACGCAATTATATAAAAACAAATTAAGGTGCAATACAAGGCAGTACAGGACTTTGTATCTACCACTCCGCTGTGATATAATCAGTGGTCACGGTCACGTAGCTTTCCGTTGACCTGGAGGTCCACCCATTTGTAGTTGGGCAACAGAAGATGTCTGTGACAGTTCAGCCATAACTTTAAACTTTTCCTGCTCGTAAATGCCTGGTTACAATCTTGTCACTGAAGTGGACGCGCAACGGGATATCATAGCGTGGCTCAAGCACATTCGTCATAGTTTAAACCCCTTGTTTAGCACAAGGGAATGCGGCCTCCCGTCTGCAGCTAAACACTCCAGTAGCTTTTGTAATAGCTTTAGCCCAGTCGGATTGGGCAGCAAAGGGCTGCTTAAATGCCGCAAACTCCTCTGCTCCTCCACTTGGACCACTAACACTGGCCATAATTATCACTTGACAGACTGACGACGTGAACCATACACTTTTTTTCCTTCTTTTTCGAATCTTCGGATCACCTGCGTACAGAACTGTGGATTGGGATCAGTTCGGATTACGGATCAACCTTTATCCATTGCACCATTAGTTATTAGTGAAGAATTTTGTTGTTCCAGTCAACTTCAACCTTGGCAGGTCTCTATCTGTTGCCAGTGGGATAGCCGCATGAGTGAAGATGGTGGTTGTTTGTGTTTAGTGCGAACAACTGCATCCAGTTTTTAGAGCTGGTCTAATGTCTGTCACTGGTGACTAAATCTCTCAATTCCTATTGCAGAGCCGTGAGCTTCTCCAAGATCTTGCCCATATGCGTTCAATAAACACAGTCTGAATACTCACAGCTCCACTCATCGTCTATCTTGTCGGCCAGCCTGGTGGGATTTTGAACAGCTGTGGCTGCTTCTTGTTCTTCGATAAGCTAGGTCCGAGCCAGATCCAATCACCCAGAACTCTGTTATCGAGGTTCCGAATTGGTAGATCTCATTCAATGTCCTCCATCGATAATGTCGCTAAATACACAACACAACCGGCCATAGAGTATCACACAGCAAACGTCTCTGCAGGCCAATTGGGCTCTCCTGAGCCCAGGCTTTTTGTCGAGAAGAGGATGTCAGTTCCGTTACGGGAGCAGTTGATTAAATCCATAATTCTTTAGATTTTAACCCTCTCGAGGCAGGCGTTGCCGATTTGCAACAGTTAAAAACTAACAACCTGATTACCCAACATACATATTTTATATTTATTTTATCTGTTATGCATTATAGCTTTTTAAATGTGTTTTAGAAACCATCAATGGAAGTAGGAACATGTTTGAATGTGTCTCCATTTGGCCAAAGGTTGGTGAAGTCAACACTTGCCTTCTACTACAAGACTGATGCTGAGGTCCAAGAAGACACAGAACTGCAGAACTGGATTAAAGAAATTTTTCAGTATGGATTTCTTTCACAGGAAACCACAGGTGGTTCATTGTTTATTATATTATATTTAATTTCTGTGTTGACATAATTCATAATTTATTCTGCCTATTCTGTCAGGAATTCCTCAAGAATTTAGCACTATGGATGAGATGGTCAAGTTTGTCACCATGGTGATCTTCACTTGCTCTGCCCAGCACTCAGCTGTCAACTCTGGACAGGTGAAGCATTTTAATATATCCTGATTATCAGTGATGATGTTCACATCAGATATTCTCAGTTCTCTCTGCATGGATCACTTTTGCATAGATAAATCCACTAAAATTTTGAGGTTTATGAAGGAGTTGATGCAACTCCATCAGCAGTGAATACAATACATTACTTAATGCTTATTGTATTCTATGATCATAATTGAACTTTACCTCGTGAACATGGAAGCAGAAATTACATACAACTATTTCCAATCGGAATGCCATTTATTGTGCACTCATTCATGTACTACAGTGATGACCATTGTTGTAGGCCACAGCCCTCCTTTTAAGTCATAAGGTGATTCAAGTAGTTCATAATTTATCTTCCAATGTATTAAGAAATCTAAAAGTTGATAGAAAGTCATGCGAAGAATTTTAAATGTTTTTCAGTTTAATTCAATGGTAATTATAAAGGGCAGAATCATAACTCTCACTTCAAGGTGCTTTATATTGTATGTTAAAGACCAGTGTTGGGGTCCTTACTCAAAAGAAGTAATATATTATACAATACTTGTTGCTGCTCACTGCAGCATTGCATTTTTGTAATGCAAGTAACTATAACATTGAAACTGTAATCTAATTACAGTTTCTCAACTGAGACTGGGTGTACCAGTCCTAACCCAGCAGTCCTAAGTACAGTGTTTAAGACTGCCTGTACTGATAAACTTACACTTCATCTGCCTAATGGACAGAATTTTTTTTTAAATAAAAAAGGTACGCTATACCTTCTAAGGATACTGCCTAAGAGAGGCATGTATAATGTAAAGAGTCCTAACATAAAACGCTATGAAACTCCATCATTAACAAATTCGAGTTACGTAAATATGATTCAAATCAGTATTTTTAATACCTAGAGCATGCTCTAATCACCATAATAAAATATTAGCCAGGCTGACAAAAAGTCAGAGCTCTTTTGAGCCAACCATCCCTTTAACGTTAACTTGTAATGACTTCATGAACTTCTTCACAAATAAAAATTACCAATAATCATCCCACAGATGTAATATTATCTACAGCTACTCTTAGTACCATTGATGTTAAGCTAGACTCTTTTTCTCCAATTGATCTTTCTGAGTTAACTTCAATAATTACTTCCTCCAAACCATCAATGTGTCTTTTAGACCCCATTCCTACAAAACTGCTCAAAGAAGTCCTGCCATCAATTAATTCTTCGATCTTAAATATGATCAACCTATCTCTAATAATCGGCTATGTACCACAGGCCTTCAAGGTGGCTGTAGTTAAACCTTTACTTAAAAAGCCATCTCTAGACCCAGCAGTCGTAGCTAATTATAGGCCAATCTCGAACCTTCCTTTCATATCAAAAATCCTTGAAAGAGTAGTTGTCAAACAGCTAACTGATCATCTGCAGAGGAATGGTTTATTTGAAGAGTTTCAGTCAGGTTTCAGAGCTCAGCACAGCACAGAAACAGCTTTAGTGAAGGTTACAAATTATCTTTTTATGGCCTCTGACAGTGGACTCATCTCTGTGCTTGTCCTGCTAGACCTTAGTGCAGCATTCGATACTGTTGACCATAATATCCTATTAGAGCGATTAGAACATGCTGTAGGTATTACAGGTACTGCACTGCAGTGGTTTGTATCATATCTATCTAATAGACTCCAATTTGTACATGTAAATGAAGAGTCCTCTTCACCCACTGAGGTTAATTATGGAGTTCCACAGGGTTCGGTGCTAGGACCAATTCTGTTTACATTATACATGCTTCCCTTAGGCAGCATCATTAGAAGACAGCATAAATTTTCACTGCTATGCAGATGACACCCAGCTCTATCTGTCCATGAAGCCAGATAACACACACCAATTAGTTAAACTGCAGGAATGTCTTAAAGACATAAAGACCTTTCTGCTTCTTAATTCAGATAAAACTGAGGTTATTGTACTCGGCCCTGAAAATCTTAGAAATATGGTATCTAACCAGATTCTTACTCTGGGTGGCATTACCTTGGCCTCCAGTATCACTGTGAGGAACCTTGGAGTCATTTTTGACCAGGACATGTCCTTCAACGCACATATTAAACAAATATGTAAGACTGCGTTCTTCCATTTGCGCAACATCTCTAAAGTTAGAAATATCCTGTCTCACAGTGACGCTGAAAAACTAGTTCATGCATTTATTACTTCCAGGCTGGACGACTGCAATTCATTATTATCAGGATGTCCAAAAAACTCACTGAAAAGCCTTCAGCTAATCCAAAATGGTGCAGCAAGAGTCCTGACAGGGACTAGAAAGAGAGAGCAGATTTCTCCTGTTTTGGCTTCCCTTCATTGGCTTCCTGTTAAATCCAGAATTGAATTCAAAATCCTGCTCCTAACATACAAGGTCTTAGATAATCAGGCCCCATCTTATCTTAATGACCTTGTGGTACCATATCACCCTATTAGAGCACTTCGCTCTTGCTCTGCAGGCCTACTTGTTGTACCTGGAGTATTTAAAAGTAGAATGGGAGGGAGAGCCTTCCGTTTTCAGGCCCCTCTTCTGTGGAACCAGCTTCCAGTTTGGATTCGGGAGAGACACTATCTCTACTTTCAAGATTAGGCTTAAAACTTTCCTTTTTGCTAAAGCATATAGTTAGGGCTGGACCAGGTGACCCTGAATCCTCCCTTAGTTATGATCCAATAGACGTAGGCTGCCGGGAATTCACATGATGCATTGAGTTTTTCCTTTCCAGTCACCTTTCTCACTCACTATGTGTTAACAGACCTCTCTGCATTGACTCATATCTGTTATTAATCTCTGTCTCACTTCCACAGCATGTCTTTTATCCTGTCTTCCTTCTCTCACCCCAATTGGTCGCAGCAGATGGCCGCCCCTCCCTGAGCCTGGTTCTGCCGGAGGTTTCTTCCTGTTAAAAGGGAGTTTTTCCTTCCCACTGTCGCCAAAGTGCTTGCTCATAGGGGGTCATATGATTGTTGGGTTTTTCTCTGTATCTATGAAGTGCCTTGAGGCAACTTTTGTTGTGATTTGGCGCTATATAAATGAAATTGAATTGAATTGAATTGAATTACAGTCAGCAGCATCAAACACTAAATTGTAGCCTGGTAGAAAAAGCAAAGAAAAGAGTCTGTCTTTAAGTTGTTTTTTAAAAAACTTAGAATTCACTGCAGTCCATGGGCTTATGGTGTTATAGACACTAGATATTTGAGCAAATCAGCAAAGAATTATTTATTTACTAAGATTTCATTAAGTTCAAGATCAGGACTTTTTTCACAGTGAGTAATTCAAATCACCCAGCCACCAACATGTTACTCACTAACCTTGTGCAGTGGATATAAAAATATGTTCTCTTGGCTAAAATGTGATCAGTTTTCAGTACAGTGGTCCCTCACTGTAGTGCGGTTCACCTTTTGCGGCCTTGTTGTCGCAGATTTTTTATTTATTTATTTTTGGTGCAATATTAAATGCTTTTTTTAAGTGCAATATTAAGTGCATTGTGGTCTGGGTCCTGATTGTCTGTAGACTATTGTCAGTAAATCTCGTGCTGTGTCTCCTATCCAGTACAGAATGCATTCAGCTTGTCAAATATAATCACTAACACTGTGACTCTGAAGTGCTGTACTGTTTGTTTGTAAGTTTTCTCCCCAACAATGTCGACGAGACATTTTGCACCATCAAAGGCACCTGTGGTAGCACCCAAAAGGCAGAGAAAGATGCTAATCATTGCACAAAAAGTTGGACTTCCGCACTTGCTAAAGGAAGGTAGAAGTTAACGTATTTTTCAGCCCATTATGCTGGGCATACACTGTGCAATTTTGGGCTCATTTTGATTTTTCAGTCGTGCGACCGTTTTGGTGATTGGAAACCTGAGTTTCGCCTTCATCGTGTGTCATGCATCGTGTAGTATACGTGGGGTAACGAGATTAACACCTCATGACCAGCTCCCGATCATCAATCGCTTCGTCGTAAGAAAATCAAACCAGTTTGAAATCCTGTCAGCCGTCGTGAGGGTGTCACCACAGCCTCTCACACTGCGGACGCGCAAACACAGAAATGAAAGTGAAAAAACGAAGTAGCACAGCAGTGCAGCGTGTGATCTGGACATAAGCGATGGAGGCACAACTTGTAGAACTTTGGCAAGCGCATCCGAGCCTTTTAGATTTGGCCTCACAAAATTATCACGACTACAACAACCGTGAAAATAGTTGGATTTACATGCTGCTCAATCACAGCTGCCTGATCAATGTTTTTCATTAGCAATTTAGCAAAGTTGATGGTGGTGGTGTGTCTGTGTGAGTGAAAGACAGAGAGGGAGAGCGAGGGACAGATTATCTGTTATAACCTTCATTTTATGGACGCACAGTGTGAGCACTCAGGTCACATCAGGGCATCGGGCTGTATAGTGTGAGACCTGCATCGTGACCTACGAACTTCTAACCCCTGTGAGTCAATCGTGCAGTTTGAGCAGAAGCTGAATAACGCGACTGAAAAAACTGCACAGCGTGTGATGTTACACTTGATGGATAAATCTGGATGTGAAACACCTTAGAAATCATGTGGAATATTTGGTACATTTGGATCCAAAGGTTAATGCTATCAGACCTAAAAACT